TGGTCACTTTAACTATCTGCCATTTTCCTTGCGTTTTCTTGCCTTAGTGTGCAGGTTTCTGAGTAGGTGATGGCTATACAGAAGACAGCTCTCATCTTCCAGTATCTTGTGAACTCTATGATCCAAAAGTAATGTACTTAGTCAAGTGTAAACCAAGAGGTGATTAATTTTTGCAGGACTGTACAATGCCTGACTGCTCAGAAACGCATCTTTTGATGTGGTGCAGAGAACTGGACCAGTTTTGTCTGCCTTACCAAAAAATGACATTTTAGTAATCTGAAAAGAGAGCCTCAGAAATCTCCACAAGTGTTTAACTTTGATCTGATTCTTTAAAAAGATTATATTTATCTGTTTGCTTGTTTAATTTGTTTGAATTTGAAGCTCAGGAAGATGTCAACTTGACATCTTGAGGAAACAATTCTTTGCTTTTTTCCAGATGAGGGTGAACAGAGGCAGCAAGTGTCCAATCATCACTAGTTGTTCTAAGCATCCAACCAAAAAAGAGAAGAGGAATCAAAACAGAAAACCATCAACTCACCTTTCTATTGTGGTTTATATGAATTATTAAGAACTGAGATTCAGTGAAGCCTCAATTCTTGAGCTTAGAATCAATACTGTATTTTATAGAAGAAGGGCAGTAAACCCAGCTTGTTCTACTTCTATCACAGTGAAGCCTTGTCAAGTCTCTCAGGCAACCTCATTGAATAGGGTCAAAGTCTAACACTATTGATGTGGAAGAGGGATTGAGATGGATTGAAGTAGATTGATGGATTGATAGTAGGCTGAATGGCTGGGCCTGGAGGGTGATGATCAGTGGCACAAAATCTAGTTGGAGGCCAGTAACTAGCAGCATAGCCCAGGGGTCAATACTGGGGTCTAGTCCTGTTTAACATCTTCATCATCTGGATGATGAGGCAAACTGTACAATCAGCAAGTTTGTGGGTGACATGAAACTGAGAGGAGTAGCTGATAAGCCACAGAGGGTCATGATGCCATCCAGAGGGACCATGACAGGCTAGAGAAATTTGCTGACAGGAAGCCCATGAAGTTCAACAAGAAGTCTGAAATCCCACATCTGGGAAGGAACCCCATGCACAAATATATGCTGGCACCCACCCTGCTGGAAAGCAGCTTGGCAGAAAACACCCTTGCATGGGCAGGAACACCTCCCAGTAGACTAGATTGCTTAAAGCCCCATCCAACCTGGCCTTGAACACTTCCAGTGATAGGGCCACCACAGCTTCTCTGGGCAACCTCTTCCAGTGTCTCATCACCCTCATAGTGAAGAATTTCCTCCCAATGTCTAATCTAAATCTCTCCTCTTCCATTTTAAAGCCATTACCCTTTGTGCTCTTGCTACATGCATTTGTAAAAAGCCCCTCTCCAGCTTTCCTGTAGGCCCCTTTCAGGTACTAGAAGGCTGCTATAAGGTCTCCCTGGAGTGTCCTCTCCTCCAGGCTGAACAACCCCAACTCTCTCAGCCTGTCTTCATGGCAGAGGTGCTCCAGCTCTCAGATCATCTTCATGGCCCTCCTCTGGACTTGCTCCAAAAGCTCCCTGTCCTTATGTTGAGAGGGACCATGACAGGCTAGAGAAATTTGCTGACAGGAAGCCCATGAAGTTCAACAAGAAGTCTGAAATCCCACATCTGGGAAGGAACCCCATGCACAAATATATGCTGGCACCCACCCTGCTGGAAAGCAGCTTGGCAGAAAACACCCTTGCATGGGCAGGAACACCTCCCAGTAGACTAGATTGCTTAAAGCCCCATCCAACCTGGCCTTGAACACTTCCAGTGATAGGGCCACCACAGCTTCTCTGGGCAACCTCTTCCAGTGTCTCATCACCCTCATAGTGAAGAATTTCCTCCCAATGTCTAATCTAAATCTCTCCTCTTCCATTTTAAAGCCATTACCCTTTGTGCTCTTGCTACATGCATTTGTAAAAAGCCCCTCTCCAGCTTTCCTGTAGGCCCCTTTCAGGTACTAGAAGGCTGCTATAAGGTCTCCCTGGAGTGTCCTCTCCTCCAGGCTGAACAACCCCAACTCTCTCAGCCTGTCTTCATGGCAGAGGTGCTCCAGCTCTCAGATCATCTTCATGGCCCTCCTCTGGACTTGCTCCAAAAGCTCCCTGTCCTTATGTTGGGGGCTCCAGAACTGGACACAGTACTCTAGGCAGTGTCTCACAAGAGCAGAGTGGAGGGCAACTGTCTCTAGGTAGCCCTGCTTGTGCAGTGGGATTGTGCAAGATGACCTCCAGAAGTCCCTCCCAATGTCAGCTTTTTGTGATCCTGTGATTCTGAGAAAGACTTGCTCACTTCAGTGGGGTTGAGATGTGACTTTCTCTACAGGACCCCATAGAATTCAGCTCACTTTCTTGTGCTGTAAGAGCTATTGGTAGCCACTTCTAAAGGACAACTTTTTACTATGTTCCAGACATGAAAGAGACAGAATACAATCTGTACTGAGTTCAATGAGAAGTTATTTCTGCAACTATTGCCTTTTGAGTGAGGGTGCCCAAAAAAGGACAGTCATGATGGGACACAGGCCTGCGGGGAACTGACATCAGCAATCTCACTTCCAGAAGGGAATAATTAGGCAGATTTGTGTCAGTTTGGATTCAAAAGGTGAAAGGCTCCTTTGTCATATTACCTGATGGCTAAACTACCTGACTGCTCATTTAAACTCCATTCCCAAACATAAAAACCAAATACCAATTTCCTCACACATATCACAAGTCACCCAAAGAGTCCCAGCTGCAAATATTCTGCATTGCTGAGCATTATTAATCATGTTGGCACATTTCTGATGTTTTGTATGCCAGCAAAGAAAGTTCATACAATCACTAAGAGGGGAATGTCTTGAGTAAGCCTATAGAGAAATTGAGAAGAGATTCAGTGGACTCCAAAGTACTTCCTTTTTGTTCTGCTTGGTAAATTTAATACAGAATGTGAGTGACAATAGAGAGGCGAAGAAAGAGGATAATAAATCCTGTTTGCTAGATGAGTTTTTTAAGTTGTTCTTTGAAAATGGAAGCTGAAGTTGACTGAACCGGGTTATATATTATATTTAGGAATGCCTAGAGCTTGACTGCAGAAATGTTAAACATCCTACAGTATTTGCAATTCTGAAGTGGAGATGATGTAACAAGAAACTGAGCACTGACCACACAAAATTTATAAATATTGGTTTCAGTCCTTCACTGGAGTACTTATATGTCACTTAGATTAAAACCAATTTCAGTCTGCAGCTGTTGGAAATTTACCCCAGTATTTCATATCAGAAAAGGGAATTAGAACATTCTCAGGTTAGAAACTGAACTGTGGGTTAAAAGTAAAGAGTGAAAGACTGTTGTTCTAAATAAATTTGCCATGGCTCAAAAGATACCTGCAAGGAAAACTCAGGGTGTGTTTTTGGGACGCCAAATCTTCATCTTTTAAGTGTTTCAGGCCAAAGTCAAGAACACAAACAATCATCCACACAACAGAACTAATGCCAAGCAACATCTTCAAGGGAGGGAGAAAAAAATCATGCTCAGAGCATTTGTTTTTAACTGAAAGAGAGGAAGAGTCTTTTTTTTCCCCCAGAAATCTCTTCAGTATGCAAATCCTAGTATCCAAAACTCACCTCATCCTACATAGCTGAAGGAAAATTTTCCATCTTTTTAGACTCTTCCCATTTTCTTTCTTCATCACTTAATCTGTCCAACAGAACCATTTCTACTTACACTGGTTTTCAGATTACCAGATTCTAGAAGAGAATCTAGAAGAGAGAGGAATGACTCAAGACTGCTTCTTCCACAAATCTTTTAGCCCCTCTCACTCTATCTTGCCAGATGAGAAATAGTTACCTAAAGTGAAAACTTCTAAATACGCTGAAGTCCCCTAATTTGTCTCAAATCTGCAGCTAATTCCTGAAATTTACAACAGAGATTCAGATATTTTAAAGCCAGAAGGGACCTTTACTGGGCTACAGCCTGATCACCACCATAAAATGGATCATAGATACTCTGGTATCTCTGCAGGAAAACTTTTCTACTGGTTGAGCTAGAATCTAGCTAGCTAGAGTCTATCTAGCTAAAATAGCCTCAGCTTAAATTAAAGACCCTAAATACTTTACATATCATAGAAGCTCTATTCTGCCCCATTGAACATTTTTGTTATCCCCTTACTGTTTTGTAAACATGTACACTGTGAATGTAAATACAAGTTGGGTTCCAGCACTCCTGAGCATTTAAGCATCTACCTTCTCCTTAAAACATTTTTTTGCCCTTCAGGATCTAGTGCCAATCCTCCATCTGTACAACATATTCCAGAAAAATTTCTACAAGACACCTGCTTTTCAAAATAAAATGTCAGGAACTACTGGAAGTATTCAGATTACTCAGAGAAATGAAGAGCTGATGCAAAAGATCTAGAAACTGTCTCATTTCCTATTCCAAATGAATTCAGTAGCAAAAGTTGCTATATAATTACATTTACTGTTGAATGTGATCCTTAGAACTTACTCAAATTCCATTTTCTAATTTATCATGTTATCGATCTCACAATTTATATGAGTGTCTGGTGAGATTTGGGCTCTAACAGAATGTGTCCTGTTTACAAGAAAGCTTAATTAGCATTAACATCTCTGCACATTGAACAGGAGGGACTATATTCTTCTTGCTTGTACTGTGTTTTGTTGGTAGAAAGGTGTCTAAAAATTAAGTTACCTTTTTGCTTACACTTTTTTCTCTAGCTGCTTTAGCAGACTTCGCAATATCCTACCTGATAAAATTTACTTTGGCCAATATTAATCAGTCAGCTTGATGTCCTAACATTTACTTTTCTCTTCTGTTGTTTGCAATGCCTCTTGGAACTGGGACAAGTATCAGACATGTGCTCATGTGAAGTCTGTGGTATGTACTATATAAATGAGATCCCAGTTCTAGCTACCCAGCGACCATCTGAAGAGTATTCTTAGATCTTTATTTCTGAAAGGGATTGTCTTTTCTCAGGTGCGATGAAGGCACTAGTAGCTTTAATATTGCTTGTTCAGCTTCCAATTCACAAAGCTGTACCAGCAGCTCCTCCTGCTCCCTTGGGCTGCGATGACCCAGAATCTGAAGCAGCAGCTGAAGTAGCTGTGAATTATATTAATGCCCACAGTCACCACGGATACAGGTTTGCCTTAAACAGAATCAAGAACATCCGTGTGATACCCCAGGTAAGTGAGGAGCGTGGGGACAGAGCACTGTGCTCACCTGGAGACACTGCAAAATGATCAACAAGCCCTGCCAAGGGCTGTATCCTCACATGGGGTAAATCAGCATGATTCTGTTGATCTAAATGGGGCAAGGCCACCCAGTAGCAGCTGCAAATCCAGGTCACTGGAATGTACCTCTCAGAGAGCAGAATTGAGGGGGAGAGGGAAATGTTCTGATATTTTTGTATGATGCTAGAAAGGGCTCCGTTTACAAGGGCAGCATGCTTGCTAGGGCAGATCATCCCAAGTGCTGATTCATGAGCCCAGGAGCTAATCTGGAGAAAAACTGTGAGGATAATCTTCATGATGCAGGTAATTATTTATTGGCTAAATGCATACACCTCTCATAACCCCATGCTATTAGAGATTTTGTAGTAGGCATTAATTTTACCTAATATCCCACTGAGCTGACAAGAAGCTGAATGGAAATAACTGTGTCTCATAGTCTCACTTTCCCTAAGATCTATTGCCATTATTGTAGGCATCCAGAAAGGCTGCAGAAATGGTCATGAATACAATGTATACACCCATTCCGAACCTTTCAGTCTCTAAAAACATGGAAAATGGTCCCAAATACTCATAAGAACAAAACTCTGTGGCTGATTTCTACTTGTTATCAGAGAAAGGACACTGAAGTAATTTAAAAGAGACTAAATAAGACATTAATGAGGTTAGAAGTGTGCCCACAGTTACCCAAACAAAAGCACTGGTGACACTGCTTTTCTCATATTTAATACTTTTATACTAAAATAACTTCATTGGTTTAAAGGGAATTAATCATGACTCAAACCTCAGTCAATCTCTGAGCCAGGGAACATCACTTCTGCTCTTCCACTCACATGTCTTATGATAGAGTTGCAAAGGTTCAGGAACAACCACAAAAGATCCTGCAGTCCATAAATAACACGAGTATTTGGGCTGGGATTTAGCTGGTGTAATTCCAATGGACCAAAGGAACAGGCCAATGGGTACCAGTGTTTATTTAGTATCTGGTTATAGAAACATGAAGTTTTTTCATCAACAAAGATACCTGTTGATTTTTTAAAACTACCCAACAAAATAAAACCGAGTTAACTTAAGAGAACTGACACACTACATACAGGCTGGACTTTCCAAAATGTATGGACCAGTTCCTTTGCTAAAACAGTGAGTTCTATTTTTTATCAAGTTCAATAGTAAGGACTTATTCAGTTACTCTAATGAGCTACCCAGTGACAGATAGCAACAGAGACCACTGCACAGCCCCAGAAAAGAAATCTGGTGATGTCTTGTAAAGTGATTACTAAAACTTCTGTTGTGTTGTGGTTTTTTTTCCTTGCAGGGCCTGAATAATGACATAATATTTCTTGAACTTGACTTATTAGAGACCAAATGCCACATTCTCAGCCCTACACCTCTTGCAAATTGCACAGTACGGAGCTTCATAGACCACGTGAGTATCTAATATGTTACTAGCTCAGTCCAAGAGTGCATGTTCAGCCTGTTGATGCTAGAAGGGCTAGGCTATCATCAGGCAGACTTCCAAGCAAATGTTACATCACTGTAATAGCCTATAACCACCCAATCACTTGTAACCTCCTTGTTGATTTAGTTACCTTCATGTCATGAAGGATTTCACTCCTGGATTTCTTTCATGTCCTGTTATGTGAAGAGGATGGGTCACTGTTAGCATAACATCCTACATACAGTTCATGAATCTTATGGGGCCTTGTTTAGGGGCTCCAGATTCAGTCCTCCCTGGTGAGGCCGGATGTCACTGCCTCATTGTAAACTGTAGACAGGACAGATTGTGAATCTGTGCAAACAAAACCTTCCCTCAGATACATGTGGGGTGTTACCTCATGAAATTCCATCAAGTCTAGCCATCTAGTTCTGGTCAAGACTGCAGAAGAGCTATTCCCTTCAGACAGGCCTCTGCCTTCAAAGCAATGCTCAGCTGGAATTTACTGGCCTCCAGTATTTTGTTCTTATGCAAGTGTGATCTAACTGTGAAAAGCTTTTCCTAACCAAAGCACTGAAATTGTTGTCTGAGTGCAGGCAGCTCTGGTTTCTCAGCAGAAAGCAGAGGGAGCAATTGACAATTTAAGCCTGCTGTTTCTAGAATGGGGCTCAATTCACAGAGCTCATGACTACATTTGAATCATGATCCACCCCTGTATTCACCAGGGCTCAGATCCTGTTTTCCGTCTTGGGGGAAGTAACTCTAACTGTTCCCTCTTTCCAGTGACTCCAGTTTTGCCATTGACATTTCCTCCCCTGCTGGATTATGTTCCATGTGAGCCAGCCCAGCAAGGCAGCACACTTTGCTGTTACCATGGCCACTGACCAGCTGAGATTAATGAGAATGTTATCAAACAGCTCTGAAGAAGGTCTTAATTCATAAGCATTCATATTCTTTGCTTTTTATAAGAGAGAAACCTGAAATGATCATGATCTGGCTACTTCGGCACTTCTGATACTATTGAGATCCATATTTGGATCCAAATTTGAGATCCATATTTGGATCTGGTCGGCTTTTTGCAAAATCACAGGCATCAGGACACACCTACCAGTGCCTCTGCAATCAGACAGATTTTGCCAGGAACTTCAGCCAGGATCTGTTCTTTTGAATTTCACAATAGTTGTCCTTTTCAGAAATTCTCACTATCTGAATGATGTAACCCTTTGATTTTTCTCTCTCTAGGCAGTGGAGGGTGACTGTGATATCAAACTGCAGAGGGTAGATGGACAGTTATCTGTACTTGCCAGTAAATGCCACTCACATGCAGGTAAAGACTTTGTTCCTTAGGTTTGAATCTAGAGGCTGGAGCACTATTACAGCAATGGTTACAATTCACTAGATTTTCTGATTCTGAACACTGATATATGGCATAAAGGATGACAGTTAAAGGTTTTTTTCTAAAACAAGCTGCTTTGAAAGTAAACTTTTCCCTTCTTCTGTTTTTATTCATCTAGAAAGCCAGCCATCTCTCTTTGGTCCTCTTTACTATGACGATTAAGATACAATTGGACTATCTGGGAGCAAGTCCCAGATTTGACCTAGAGGTTGCTGGTACTGAGGCTTTTCACTCAGGTGTTTGGTCTTGAGAATTTGATTCCTTACTGGTCTGAATCTAACAGAGCTTGCTAATCTCCAGAGCCCCTTTGCCAGATGCAGCTTATTTACAAACCCCAGCATTTTCAATATTGCCATGGGAAAGTGGAATCTTTTTTTCTGCATGTTCTGTACAACATCTCTTAGCTCTGTATGAGATGTCTTCAGTACTGCTTTCAAAATTGGTGAGTGAATGAAACAACACACTCATGAAAATACAATTCAAATTGATTAAAATATCTTCATTTTTCCAACACTATTTTTATGAGCTGAGACATCTTTTCACTGGCATCATGGATAGTCTGCCAGAAAGAGAATTGATTAAAACATGAGTAAGAACATTCAAAATGTCCTAGTGAGGTCCACAGCAATTTCTCTTGCAGAAACACTGGAATGGCAAAAACTGTGTGAAATGCTGCCATCTGTAGCCTGTACTGCAAAAATTCCTTCCACTAAAATTTGGGATAGACCACGACAGTGTTTTGTGTGACCAAATAGGTCTCTAATGCCTCTCAAAACAGCCTACAATCTGATGAAAACATAATCTGTTCGGTTCCTCCTGCAGACTCCAGTGAAGATGTTCTCCGGTTCTGCCCTGACTGTCCACTGCTGGCAAGTTTGAATAACACGGAGGTGTTAGCAACTGTTACAGCTGCTCTCCATGACCACAACAGCAAAACTGTTGATACCTACCTCAGACTGCTTGAGATTGGAAGAGCCAGAATACAGGTAATTTCTAGAACTGTGTGTAGCCTTCTCCATTAACAGAACATTTCTGTATTTGTGCAGTGCTAACCAGTTATGTTTGCAGATTTAACTTGCTCTAATTTGCCCTAATGAATTTCTCTTGATTTCCCAAGCATTTTGTGACATTTTAGCCACAGGATTCCCTTTGAGTTGAGGAAGAGATACAGAGTTAGAAGCCACACATTTGCCTTTTACCTTTTCTTAGCAGCTCTGCAGTTTCACAGTATAAAGTCAGTTAAACAATTTTCCTGTTTTATCAGTATCACCCAGTGCATGTTGTCTCTGTTGAGTTTGCTGTGGCTGCCACGAACTGCTCAGCAGCAGAAGCTAAAGCTGATGTGGGGACTTGTCAACTGCTGCCCGACGATCAGTCGGTAAGTGTGCCAGCACATCAGCCCTGATCTTGCCAGCTCAGAGGTAGAAACCAGCATGCTGTGATCTGCTCACACTTGGGCAAGAATAGACCTTGACGAGGATAGAAGTGCAAGAGCTGCACACCATTCTGATACTCTTTTCAATATACAGTTTCTAGAGCTGTATCACACCCTTGTCACTGTGGTACCTGGACTGAGTCCTGTTGTATTTTAAAATATTTTAATATATTTCCAAAAGGCTTGAGGACCAAAGTGTCCTTTACACAAAATATTTTTAATCAACAGAATATAGATTCTTGTTTACTATCCTTAACATGAGCACCTCACAAAATCTGGTACCAGACAGTACACAAACATTTAACAAAAGGGCAGACTGTTTCACCTTCCTACGATGTAAGTGTTCTTACTGTGCTTTGTTCTGATACATAGGCTCTTGAGAATTATATTGTATACTTTATCAAGCTACAATTCTGCTTTTGTTTCTGATGAAATTGAGTCTTAGGCAGTTTTACTGGGTGGCAGCCTTTTACCTAGATTCCTATATGTGCTCTCCCATCCCCATATGCAGACATGTAAAGGATCATACTCTAGAATAACACAGGAGTTTCACTTGTTTGCTAGTTATGCATTTAAACAGCCTGGCTTTTGAGTCCAACAGACTAAAAAGCAAGCACTTTACTGCTCAGATGAAACATGAGGAGATACAGCTGTTTCTAAATGTTCTGAAATTAAAAATTGTAATGCAGGTCTCCTCTGTTTTATAACTGTTTGCTCTTGTATGTTCTACTTTGCCAGAACTTTGGTTTCTGCACAGCACAAATGGTAACAAAGCCCTTGCAGGACCTCAAAGTGGACTGCCAGCTCTATGGACATCAGGTACTAACTCCCTTCCTTTCCAGAGTATCCTGACCTACTAATCCTGTTAAAAGCAATCGCCCTGAGTTTACTCCTTTCAGTGTAGAATGCTTTAGCATTTTTAACTTTAGTTTAACTTTGTATCCTAAAAATCAAGGTAAGGAACTCCTGATCATCCTATGGATTTCTGTGCCAGGAATTATGTCAATTATGCTTGACACAGCTTGCTCTCCTAACCACGTGGTTGTCTGGTAGGGCAAAGGGAGCCAAACTCTGCTCAGCAAGGGGAATGGGGCAGATAAATATAAAACATAACTAAACTATGGTGGTGGATGAAATCAGCTGGGATGTTTTGCTAGTAGTCCTTAAATTTGACTGAATGCAAGGAGTCTGACCTGCACTGCTATAGGAAGAGGAGAGAAACATATATCCACTGGACCCAAGTGCTCTGCAGGTATTTTAGCCACCATTTAGTCTGAGAAGGGCTAGGTGATGGTTGAATACTTCCTATGGATCAGATCTCTTGGTAACAAAATAGTAATTAGCTATCTAGGAGGTATATGAAAGAAAGAATAGGACAGCTGGTCTTGAACATTCTGCCAGCTGCACAGGTGGCCCACAAAGTTCACACAGCACAGAATTTTCTGCTAATGATTCACCAGATATTGAAAACATGTTCTTAGGCTCCTGTGTATGTGTTCAAATGCCAATCAAATATCTGTGATGGTCAGGAATATTTTGTACCTGGGTTGGAGGCCTGTCCCTAGTTAGAAATATGGTACCTAGTAAAATAGCAATGACCTGTATACGCTAAGCCTGAGTCACTGAACACAAACAAAAACAGTTGTGTTTTTTTTACAGCCTGGAGTTACCTACCCTCAACCAGGTCAAGACAC